AAAAATCACATCTTGAATCAAAAAGTATAAAAAAATTCAAATAAATGAAAACGCAAATTCAAGCAAGTCAATCTGGGTAATACAATGCATCAAGCAAGAACGCTTTTGGCTATCAAGAGCATATCCCAAAAGCACCCTATTCCAAAATGAAATTGTGGCATTCAACTGAAAATAGCAAAAAAACGCTGAAGAAGCCTCACAGGCAATTCAATTGAGCATTGCACAAGCCTTCTGCGAAGAAACACTGAGGGTAGGGAAATTGTAAAACGTATGAGCGAGAGACAGAGGCGAGCGAAACACAGCCAGCCCGCTGCGCAAAATCAGGACGTGGTCATGGCCGACGGTCGGAGTCACAGGAGTAGTATAAGATTTCAGCCCCATTGCCTGGCATCCTTCAGCCGGCACTTGCCATGCTTCGTTTTATTTATGAAAGTGGGAGTCCAAATAAAACAAAGCTCAGGCATAAATTTTATTAAATTTGGCTGATATCATCTAATTCTGTTATCTGTGAAACAAAAAAGTATAGAAAGATACCTTGAGACTCCTTCTCAGGCAGTCTTCATTCAACCACACACCCTCCCTAGTTGCATTCGACACCAACGTTGACAAGGACATCGTGATTTGCATCTTCACTCTTGCCAAGCTGCTTCCACTTTCAAAACTCTCCCTCATTAGGAGATACAAACTAGCCGCAGCCTGCAACTCTTCGCAATGAAAAATGAAAGATATCCTGACTTGCACTCATTACCTGAGTTCGAACGGCTGGTAATCGAGATGCACAATGACGGAGAAGTTGTAAGCACAATTCTCCACACTGCTCAGCTTCCTTAACAATTGTGAATGCTGAATGAAGAGGAAACAAGGATCAAAGAAGCCCACCTGCTCAAAAATCATGTCGGGAAACTTCTTAACAACAGTGCGTTGGCTGACGAAAATGCATTCTAGGGCTTGAACGGACTGATTGCAGGATAACATGTGCAACTGAAAAAGAATGGTGACATATGTTTTCGAAAGCAATACCTTTGGATGAAAAACAGAGACCGTTCGCTGCCGCAACCCGTTCGACCCATTAAGCACTACAATTCCGTTGGAACTGGCCGGCACCGAACGGAAAGAATAGGCTGCATAATTCTTTCTGCCCTTTCGTTCTTTTGACCACAAAAACTAGCAGCTTGAGGGTGAAACCATTGTAACGCCATCTCAGCAGAGCCATAATCAGTTTATAGCCGCGACGACACCACAACGCACTTTATCGCCCTCACTGATGCCATCAAAGTACTGAGAAGTGAAAAGAGAGCTAAACGACAAAGCCGTATGTAAACTCACTATTCCTCGTAATATCATTGGTAGAGCAAAATGCAAATGATCACTGCCTGGCATTGAAATCACTCGGATAATGGTCTCCAATGTATCCAGCACGCACAGCATTACCTCTGTACATAGCGCCGCTTCCAACAAGGCCTCATCCTCATATACTGAAACAGAAAGTGTTCAAAAGCTGTGTATTTGCTAAAAAGCTATAAATCCAATTTTTTCAACTTCCTTGCTTAGCCGGAATGCCTTATAAGGAAGAATGCTCATAGACCTGTGCCTTAATCCTGAAAAGGAGCGACAATTTCTATACGGGAGAATTCAAAAGCACATTTGATGCAGCTGATTGGTGTGAATGTTCAGATTTCTGCTTGTCTGTATTTGTGTGTATGTAGCCGTAACGAGAGTCTGCAAAACAATCTGGGAGGCGAGCCTCGTTCGAGATAGGTGGAGCATAAGCCAGAATGCATGGAGAACACATGAGCTGAGTGGAGTCCCACAGTGAACATGAATGCGCAGAAATAGGCGGTCCCGAGAGTATAATTCCCTATCCTTCACTTTCTGAATCGGTTCCAGAACAGCTGCGAGACCGAGGAGAAATGGGTAAAGGTGTGCACGGGTAAGCAGAAAAATAAAGCGGT